TGCAAAAACAAGAGAAAATCAACACAATTTTAATAACTGATTATGTTATGTATGTATATAATGTTTGCTTTTTTCCTGTGAGCTTATCGTTTTTATGCAATTTTTTTTTGGGGGGGGGGGGCAGCCTTGGTGAGCAGAAGAGGCTTCATTTAAAAACATAAAAAATCTTACTGATCTAAAACTTTTGACTGGTAGTGTATATAAATATAAACTTTAAATAAATAATACGATGCCAAATAATGCCAAACTACTAGGTAACAACTATGAAATACATTCTTTTGAGGCTTTTTTCTTCATTATGATTTCAGGACAGTTGCATCACCCTGACATTTCTTTCTTAAAGCTTCCCCAAAAATATCAAAATGAATGTCATATCAGGAATCAAAAACATGTTCATCATAGAAGAGGTTGCTTCAAGTTATTGTGTGTATGATTGCCATTTTTACTGTATTTTGAACAAATTTATATTTATTAATGATTAAAAAGCTCATTTAGGAAGGCTGTTTTATGTGCTCACATGTTTGAGAAGTAAAATTAAACAGTTTATTAAGTCTAAATTCAGAATACTAAAAAAACTATTACTGTCGCTGAAGTATATAATATTCGATCAGTTTATACATTTTTACCAAGCATTGGATGAATATGCAAAATAACCATATTTATTGGTTACTGTAGTAATAATGTAGCATAATATAGTTTGAAGTGTTGTGACCTAATAATAGTAGGCAGTATAGGGTATATGCAGTGCACTTTGCACTAGTAAGCTGATATACCATGTATATCTGCATATGATATAACAGCCTCTTTTTCTTGTATCTTAAAAAAGCTCATTTTTATTTTTCTTATTTGACAACTTGAGGATTCAGTGACAATTTTCTTCTCACCTCTTTAATTAGGTATCAAACCTACAGAAAACCCTCAAGGCAAGTTCTGCTTCGCCATCATCTGGCCCCGCCCCTGCTGGAGCCGCATCCAATCAGGATGCAGACCAGCCGGCTGAGCCAAGAGACCCTGCCTCCTCTCAGGAACCACGGCAACCAGGGAAAAAGAGTTCAAAGGTCAAAGGGTAAGTCAATTCTATTTTAGGGTTTAGTGCTTCAAAATTCCCTTCAATTGATCTTAGTCTCTATAAATAACTCTATAATGTACCATAACTCTATAAAACATCACAGTGATTTATATTAAAGGAGCCTATGATTAAAACTACTGACCTCAAATAAATCAATGCAAGTTCATATTTACTAATGGCATTTTTAAGCACACAGAATATGATTTATAAATGTTTCAGTGAGCTTATGTACCGCTTCCTGCCTTTAGTTAAGTGTGATGTATAAGAAATCACCCACAGGCTTATAGTCCTAATTAAGCCCCGATGAGTTTAAAATTGTCTCTGTCCTGGTTTAGAAATCTCATGTCAGGATGTGCTCTGGAAAGAGAGCGGGGCTTTTGATCACCACGGCTTTTTCTTTGTCACTAAAGAATTTCATTTAAGAAGAGGTATAATTTATTCAGGGCCGGTCTGACAGAGATTACTCCGAGTCCAAGGTTTTAAAGGCGTCTCAGTGGAGACTCGTCATTAACATTTCAGGACTATTCCTTGTCCGTGTGTTGCTGCCAATTTTCAAATAATCGTTTTGTGATTATTAAAATATGAGGTAAATAGAGTAAAGGAATGTCTTGGGTTCTATGTAAATTAAGATCAAATGTGGCATAATGTTGATTGCCTAAATGTGTACTTTAAATTGGGCCAGACAATTAATATTCACCACTATTTGTAGCCACAAGGAAAATCATAAAGTGTCATTATAATGGCAAATCCTCACTTGAGCAGTTCTTTCTTTTTGTATGTTTCAGGCTTCGTGGGAGCGGAAAGATTTGGTCAAAGTCTAATTGATCTCAAATCTTCAGTAACCCACACACATATTGTTGACCGCTTGCTTGTATAGACGGATAAACCAACCGATGGCCACTTCTCAGTCACAGACCATCATCATAGTCTAACACAGATACAATTTTTACATAACGCCGGGTGCGTGTTCATACGCGTGCTGTAAATGTAATTTCATTTGACTCATATTCCTTTGCGTGTTTGTTTTTGTTCGTTATTAAATCTGGATGTAAATTGATGAAGCAAATGAATAAATTATATCCATCTGTCACCCTGTGTAGTCTCTGGCTTTCATGTTTCCTTTTCTCTAATGTTAAGTGCAGCTAAATGTTTCGTCTCAATGGGGGCATGTCTGTTAAGAGGTCATGACATTAATTAGCCACACTTTAATGCCGGAGCACTGAAATAACATCCTGGTTTCCTCTCTCTTTCGGCACATACACTCTTCCCACTAGTGTGTTATGTGAAATGCCATTTATCCAGCCATAAAGGCTGACTAAAGCAATGTTTCTTTCTCTGTCCTGCATAATGGTCTGTAATGGTAGCGATTAACTTGTGCTAGCCACTTAGAAATGAGGAGAACAATAAAAAGCGGAGAGTGATGATCTACTTTTACATTAACCCCTGCCTCCTCTCTCTTTTGTGTCTGTAAAAATCCATCCACCTCAAAATCTATGATCCTTTTTTTAAGCACACATCTTCTCTCTTTCTCTCTCTATAAATAGTGGTGTTAATTTCAGTCAGCGTGACTGAAGTTCAGTGTTTCTCAGTCTCTCAGCTCTGAGCAGATGGGAGCTGTGAACTCTTGCAGCTTACATACTAGTGTGTGTGTGTTTGAAGCGAACGTGTGAAGTGTGTTTGTGTCCTGGTGTTTTGTTGCTGTGCAGTGGCTAATGAATCCTCCCGGTGTCCCTTTGGCCTGACTCTGCTGTGCGTGATTGTATCAGTGAGTCACTGTCATAGAGGCAGTCCTTTCAAAAACCATGCCAAAGAAACACATTTTAAAACACCAGAGATGGCTTTTTATTGACTTCACTCTACAATGAACCACATATTTAAGGCAGTGCTACATAAATGATGTGACACCTCTAAACATATCTCACATAGTGTAGCTTCTTGTGCATGATGTGAAAAATTGAGAATTTAATCTGCTGTGCCCATAAACTATAATGGCACAGTTTCTTATTCTCTCCCTTTAGCCATTTAGTGTTTCTCATGAGTTACATGGCTTTTTGAGAGGAGGTGATTATGATTTTCTTGAAAAATACAGTGTAAAGTTGAAATACAGATTTTTTTTCTGGTTTAAAGTCAATATGTATCAATATAAATCAAAACTGACCATGTTTTGTTCTTCATCATATAGTGAACAATTCATCAGTGCATATTCTAAAGAAAAAAAACTGTCTTTAAATCATGAATAAAAAGTAAAAACCTGCTCTTCATCTGAAACGACTTTCCTTGTGCGATGACATCACTTAGACCGCACAGGCTATAGAGAGCTACAGTCCGGTTCCAGAAGTAAAAATACCATTCAGTGTCTCCATTGGGGAACTGATTATTAACGATAACTTATAAACCATTAGAAAGGCCTAATGTAAGCTATGAGGTTATTAATCGATGGTATATGCTTCTGTTAGAGCCTTTTTTTAATAATCATGTTGAACATCTGAATGCATGAAAAGCTACATTACCCATGATGCTGTACAGAAAATTTCACCAATCAGTCGCAACAAGTAAATCACCCCAAAGAAAAAATTTAGCGGCCGCCCACTCATATTAAACACTGCGATTGATGTAGCCAGTCTACTCAAACTGACTTACTTGTCAGTAATTACTCGTACATGTTGTTCCAACCCCGTAAGACTTTCGTTCATCTTCAAAACACAAATAAATATATTTTTGATTAGATTGACAGAATTTTTTGGGTGAACTAACTAACCCTTTAAATATTTGTATGCATAATATATGAATGAACTTAAAATATATCATTTCAATATATATTATTCAACATCTTTAAATCAATCTCCATTGTTTTTAGTTCAATTATGTCATTGGCAATGCTTCAGGGGACTGTAGTTCTTTCCCTGATTAAAGCTATTAAGAACGCTGTCTCGTACCAATTCATTGTCTTTTTGTATCAAAAAAGTTTCAAATTTTCACTTTTTTGCTTCAAATCAAAGTTTGTAATGTTATAATTCAGCATATAGCTGGTGGTTTTGGTTCATGGCTTATAAATCTTACACAGACAAATCCCTATTGGAAAAATGACTGGTAAAAATACCTCGGTAATCAAGGCCGCTGAAAAAGTGGGCGGACACAGATACACTCTATTGGATAATGTTAAACATTTACCAGATAGCTATTCACACATAGCTTTACCAATTTGTCTGGCTCCCTTCTGGAACAAAAAGCCAATATCCTCTTTCATACATCAAATATGTCAAAATACAGAAGCAAAGTAGCAATTCACACAGACTACGGAACAGATTTTAAAAGATTTCAACAGTCTGAAAACCTGGTTCATAAATATAAATGAATCCCTCAAGCTGTCTCGCTAGCCATGGGTTGATAGCGTAGCGAGACAAACAAACAAACTTCTGTTTTTCAACTGCTTTTCAAACTAAATATGCCATGGAAGCACCAAGCTTGTTTTTCACTTTGTCTTCATACATATCCTTAATTGTGCTTTACATAAACTCAACACGAATATATCGAACACATCAGTAATTTTGGTGTGTGCTAGCCTTCTGCTAACCGAAAAGACTCTTTTATTTCCTACGTCTCAAACGCCCCCGAGAAGAGATATATGGCCATGATTTAGAAGTATAACAACACTCTTGGAATAGAATGACTCAAGTTTCACGAACACCTCAACAGACGCTGAGCCAGAATTACGAAAACGTTCGTCAGATAATTCGAGTAAATTATAAGGTAACACTGCAGTGGTGTTTCCAGATATCTGTTTTTATCAGCTGACGTCACTGAAGTCGCTGTTGCCATGAGACAGAGCCATATGAAACAAAACACTATGAACAGATGATGTAACTTATATTTAACTCTTCAAAATAACTGCAGTCAAGCCCAAATAAATGCTACACAAAGTGCCATAAAGGCAGCGGTAGGCAGCTGTAACCTTTGTATGCATGAGAGATCGGCCACTGCAAGCGTGACACGCCGGTTACTAAATTAATGACTACATACATCACAGCTTATTCCAAGATCAGAAGCTAACGATTGTTTTCATGGTAGAGGACATAGCATTCCCGGAGCCCTTGTGAATGGCTGCGTTGAGCTAATGAATATATGATACTGTACGAACGGCACTGGAAGAAAGAGGTACAGCCAGAAACGAAGAGCCGTTGGACCACAAAACCGCATAGTCTCCATCAGAGTGTCCAAAAAGATGGATTCATCCACCTATCCACATGTGTCAATCTGCATTTTATGTACATTCGGATGGTTTGCCCATGTGTTCGCACCAAAGTCTGTGTCATGCCCACGGGATTTGATTACCATGCTCAGAACTGTCGGCTCTTCAAAGATTGACCACTGGTATCCTGCAGCGAAGGGTAAAGAGATGAAGAAAGACACGGCAAATGAAATTAATAAGGGTCTCACTCTATTATCGAGAGTGAGATTAATTCTGAAATGCACAGAGCAGCAGGAAGGGGTCTGATTTCATGGATGGCACGCTCTCTTTCTCTCTCTGCATCGCTCCTGTTAAAATATTCACAACGACTGAAGAAAACATCCACAACAATGCCTAACTGGGTGTTTTGTATTGCAAGCCATTACCACTGATCTAACAACACACTTATTTAGCTTCATTTTCACACAATCAGCCCTGATGATAAGCATACAGGGTTCGTGCATTTTTTAATAAAATAGATACTAATTTACTTAATTGAACATTTATTTATATTTAACAATATATGTGGGAACTAAAATATAGTAGAAATCAACTTCACATAATTAGACCTGTTTTCCACTTTCACCAAAGGAGTTTATGGAACAAATATAAATGTAATCTTAATATTAACTTTTTTATTTGTTTTCAACAAAATATGCATAAGGTACAGTAAAAGTTCAAATGGACCACTTATGTTTTCCGCTTACAGTTTTTCACTAAATTAGTTCATGAAATAAATAATACAATTATAAATCTAATACTATTGATATAATTTAATCTTAATAATTTATTTTATGTCACAATATAAGACGTAATACACAACATTCTACCTATGTACATACACATTTATCATAATCCTTGACCGTTTCTGTACTATTTAGAACGCTTTTAAAAAACTTACCCTCTGTTTCACAGATAAGCCTTAAGATAGTCCCATGTTTGAGCTGTTTTAACTGAAAGCAACTTGCTGACATATTTTAAAATATGTCAGTGTCATTGTTTTGTCTCAAGATTCACACCAGTAATGATTTTTTCTAAGACATGTTTATAAAAGCTCCTTAAATGTCCTAATTGAATTTGGCTTAATCTAAACTCTGTCCGTGAAACCAGGGTTTAGACATTTTGATAAGGATCCACATACACTATGACATCATTTTAAATGAACAACTCAGTCAAATTTAGTGTAGTCCCTACTTGTGTTCTTTGTTGGGAACATTTATTTATGTTGTTCCCTTTGACAGTCAGTGACTAGCTTACCAGTCTTGCTTAATCTGGCTTTTCCTCTTTCACACACACACAAAGTACCTAAACCAGTCTTGGCACCCTGACTGTCTCACAGGCTTATAGAAATACGTACGCTACCTCTCTCTGTCGGAGAAGGATGGAGTGCTGTGCAGTGTCTGCCTGCTGTCCTCCTGAGCTATGGAACGAGGGATGGCGAGGGAGAGAGGTGGGGGACGCTGGGAGAGACTGCGGTCGTAACTGAGAGAGAGAGAGAGAGAGAGATTAGGACGACAGACAGCGAAATATTCAAAAACGCTGGAAAAAAAAGTGAGAAAGAGGTGCGAAATGAGGGATAAAAGAATATAAAGGAATAGAAAGCAAACACTTCAGTGATACTGACAGGAAGTTCATTCACTCACTGGCTTAATTTAATAGACTGCCTTCAGCGGGAAATTAAAGCATGCGAATGAATGTGTGTGTGAGAGAGAGAGAGACGCTGAAATATTCAGTTAAAATCATATTTGTCCAGCAACCACGAGGAAGACAAAGTGTCACAGACTCTGTGTGACGTCCCATGTAATATTAACACCCCACACGGACACGCACTTATCTGCAGTGACTCAGGAGTAGTTCACTCCACCTCTGCTCTTGTGCTCTGACGGGATGACGGGTGGAGGGCTGGGGGATGTTAAACGAGCGCGAGGCGTCTGTCAAGGCAAGTGTGCGGCATACAGAGATTAATTACGGAGATGTAGCTTGTGTATGCAATAAAATCGCCCTCGGCTCACTCAGATGAACGCCGGTCTGAGCTTCTACGTGAGTGGCGGCTTCACGTTTACATAAACCTATCGGGAGTTTGCGATATGTGAACTTTTTATTGATCCTACAAACAAGCACTCAAACAGTCCCATAATGTCTGATTTGTAGTACCTGCACGGCTGAACCATTGCTTTACTGCAGCGTAAAACTTAGGCAATGGAAAGTAGGGTTAGGCGGAAGCAACCTGATAAGAAAACGTAACAATTTTTTGGGTGATTCGTACAGAATTTTTTTTTCTTTAATGTAAGCACGAAGGTCAACCCCCAAAAGCGGATTAAACCCCTAATTTCCGCTTTAGGGGGTTGACCTTCATGCTTGCTTACATAAAAAAAACTATTCTGTACGAATCACATCGTACAAAGAATACGAAATCGCCACCTCGTAAAATTGTACAGCCTACCTAGTTATTTTTAAAGTCACCATGAAATCAATAGGCCCATAGGCTATGCTCAGACATACATTTGCAAACAATAATCCAATCAATTGACCCTTCGCGGGCAGTTTGGATGGACAAAATCAAGTCCTGCCTTACATTTTTTCTTGTTTGAGAAGCCATTTCGCTTCCAGTGTTTCCAGTTCTCTTAGGTGTACAAAAAACAGTCTATTGCTGCTTGATATGTTTTATTACATCATTTTTTTTTATTTATCATTGTATGCCTATATCATGTAGCGTCTGTGTACAGTGAACCGCACAGCTTTTCAAAGTAGCAACATTAGCATTCACAGACATTCAAAACATGCCTGCACACTAGAAAGTTCTCTAGTGTACAATGTCTGAACTGTTTCTCTCCAGAAGTTATAAGCAATAAAAATGTTGTGCGGTTAGAAAAAAAAGTATGTACGTGTATAATGCTGTTTGACAAAATTTATGTTGCACAATAGACACATATACTAGCGTATGCAAAAAACAAAAGTTTACTGTGTGCCTATGCAGACCTTACTCCGAAAACGTATTCAAATTAGCCACCAATTTGTCAAAATGTAAAATAGTTACGAATTGCCATGCAAGTGAGTTGGCTGAAGGTTTTGACACGTTTCAATGGAACTGAATTCAGCAAAGGGAATATTCTAGCATAAAAGAAGGCAGGTAGTAATAAATCACACTCATAACCTGTCACCCTGTGTTTATAGTTACTCTCAGGATGATTTGGGCCATTGCTTAGCTCTCTATATCATTTTAACGATCATCTATGCGATTGAATGCTACCGTACGAGTAAGTACAAATGCATTCCTGTGCCTGATGTCCCCCAACGCTCCCGGCTACATTTCTAATTAAAGCAGCACAATAAAACACTGTAAGGTGTCCTCACTGTTAGTGTCTGCAGAGTTAGAATGTTCATAAATGACATTTTTAACAGTTCTGCATGCAGGGAAGTCTTACTGAACAGCAAAACCCTTGACTGAAAGTTTGTGGAAATCTGTTGTGTGAACCCATTATGACACACTGACTTTTCATTCACAATCTCTCACTCTCTCACACACACACACACACACACACACACACACACACACACAGTGCAGCAAGCTGTCTCAGGGGATGGATGACAGAACTGTGCAAGCAGAGTGTTGAAACGTCTCACCAGAGTTTAGCAGAGATGATGACCGCAGTGAGAATCAGCAGAGATGAAATTGTCACCGTCACATAAAACTGGGGGTCCACTAAAGAAAGAAATGGCACAGGAAAAGAATAATCAAACGGAGTGAGCAGTACTACAGAAGAATTGGCTCTTTTTCAATTCGAGTGGTATTCAATTAAATTGGACCCATGTGATGCTAAATTATACATTGAATTGGAATGAATGGAAGAGGACATGCTGAATTGCAATACAAAGAAATTCAACACAGACACAAAATGAGATGGAGAAATAGGGTTGACATGGAAGGGGACATGTTCCCTCCAATGTTCATGGAAGATATGGAAGGAGAAATTTTCCTTTCAATGTTCAAAGTCGTGGCCAACAAATGTGGATTTTAGTGACCGATCCCTAAACATTTACATTTGGTCCCACAAAATCATATATATATATATATATATATATATATATATATTATGTGCCATTTTGGAGACTTGGGGATAAAGTTCCCTTCCATAATGGTTCATTTAAAACAAATAAATACAATTTAATTATTCGCTAGAGCGCCTACTGAGATCAGGGGAGTGAGGTTTACTTGCCTCCGTTACACATACTTTATACATGTTATTTAATAAATAAATATATTTCATATAGTATATTTATATATATAAATGATGTGTATAAATACATAGATAAATTAAATATTAAATAAAATACAAAAATCTATTTATGGAAATTCTTTAGACCTTATTCACAGCAGCTCCATCTTACTGTTATCCAATGCGTTTTTCTGGGTTGGGTTGTTCTGCTGACAAAACACAGCAAAAATATCTTTCCAAGAAATTACAGTAGATGAAAAAACTCCAGGCAAGTATGAGTTGTGGAAAATAATAAGTGATCTAGGAGCTTTGTACAGCTTTTTACAGTGGATGCCATTAAAAACACGGTAAGTCTATCCCTCACAGCCTCGTTTTCATAGCTGATGACACTCCTCTGAATAAGGTCTATTGAATTTCAAGCATCAAATATTCACATCATCTAATCTAAAAGGGAAACCTTGTGGGTATGATGTCGTCAACTCGTGAAGTACATCTAATAGCAGTTGTATGAATATTATTCCTTAAGTTCTAACTTGAATTACAGTTAACAATACACTCCTCAAAGACTAAAGCGTGGTGATTGCAAGGACAAGATCATGGCTTCATAAACTAATATAAAATATACCAAAGCTTACCAATAAATCGCTTTTAAAAAAACATTGCAAAATGCATAAAAGTCAATTCTGTTTGCTAGTCTACCTCAACTCAAATTAAAGAATTACACCAGAATTTCAAAAGTCATTAAATTTCAAATGTCCCACAACGCTATAAAAAAGTAATAAAAAGAAATAGAGATGTAAAGAAAGACGTTTGAGTGGAAGCAACAAGAAGCCGTTTTCAGGAGAGGTATGTGGGGGCGAAAAGAGTGGGCAGAGTGCCATAATCAGGTAAAATTGTATTGATTGGATTTATGCCTGCCTTCTGCACAATGGGAGAGAGAAATCTAAGCTCTCCTCAAGCGCAGATTTGCGACTTTGAGGAACCAGCATGAGCCCAGATCCCTGTTGGCGATGCAGCTCTCAGATAAAGAACTAATTTCACGGATACCCACCTTCCTTGGTGTCCGGCTCCTCTGTCTCTATCTTCTCCCTCTCTCCTGTAGTTGGGCGCTGCGTCTGATTGGTGGCCGCACTCCGATGATGCGTCCAGTCCTGAGACGGGGTCACCCTCAGACTCTCCGTCTCCAGGCTGGACAGGACGTGATGGGTTTCGTCCTCCAGGGGCTGCGTGGGACCCCAGTCCACCGCCCAGAGCTGAGTGGTGCTGGCCTGTGCGGTGACTGGCATCTGCATTTCACCCAACTCCTCCCACTTTCTGTCATCTGTGTCACCGGTGGCAGTGCAAAAAATTACAGTGACCAGCAGGAAGCTCCAAAGGGGAAAGAATCCAATGTGGGGATAGATGGAGCTAGGGGGAAGGAGAGACAAAGCAACGAAAAGACGGAAGGAGGGATTGAAAAGGAAAGGCTAGAGAGATTGGAAAAAAACACATAACTGAGAGGCGTGAACCGTGCACAGATGGAAAGAGACATAAAGCAGAAGCTGATGCAACCCAACGGGCTCCAGGAAACTAATTGGTCACCTCTGAGAGCACAGTGCAACCAAAACAGTCTGTTCTGCGCTTACCATCGCTCCATCGCTTCTGCCTGTTCACTGGCTCCTCGCTGCTCCGATCATCTCTGAAATGAGAATGACAAAAAGAGGGGAGAGCTGGAAGGGAGAGGTTTCAGTCTTGAGTCTTGACACTGACTAAAAGACCATAAACAGATGGCTGTAGGCAACACAAATAAAACGGCACAGATCATTAAGAACCAAACCACCAGATCACACACCGTAGCACAAGATCAACAGAAAAAAACACTCTCACAAACGAGTGCGAACACACCTGTGGATGCGTTCCCAACGTTAAGCCCCATCCCGAGCCATCAAACAAAACTCAACATCTGTATCCAGATTTACGGCACACTCTGACTTCCAGGCAACACATCTAAAAACATGCAGATTCTCACTCTCAAGACAGATATGGACTCACATGCCTACCTCATGCCACTGAAGAAGGGAGTGGGAGAGAGGCTTAGCGCCTGGAAGTGGGGAAAAGCATTGGTTGCCGTAGCGACAGAGACATGTAGAATTTGTGCGAGTGAGAAATAGAGTGCGGAAGAGGGAGGGAGAGAGAGAGAGCTACAGGAGGGAGGGAGGAAGAGAGGATTGGAGGAAAGATTTAAATACTAATTATTACGCATCTTAACTGGTTCAAATTAAATAGGCAGTGAGAAGAAAATAGATGAATTTTGAAGGCGAAAATAGCCGGACGGAATACAAGTCTCATTAATATTCCGAGGACCAGTTGAAGTAAATAAAAAGTATTCAGAAAGGACAAATCCAAAGAGGCAGCGGCAGGAAAATCAATTTACATTAAGGTAGCATTGGACAGGAGCTCTACATGATGTACAACGCTATGTATATATTTATAGACAGAAGTGCCAGCGATGATAAATACTCTCACACGCACACACAGACATAACGTGGTTGGTTTTATTGGATCAACGTTTACATAGAAAACAGACTGTTGTTTCTCTCCTCCTTCTGTTTCTTCCCTGCCAGTCAGTCAATCTGTTCCACTTCAGTCCCTTCGCATGATTTCTCACACTCCACCGTCATCCCTTGACCTTGCCTTCTTTCGCTCTTCCTTTCCAATTCATTCCTTTCCATCCTCTCGCTCACTGAAGAACACAACGCAGCCATGAAGAACTTGCAGGTTCCTCTGTTTCAGATGCATCCTGGGTTATGGAGTCTTCATCATCGTCCACTGGATAAAAAAAAAAGTTATTTTCATTAGGGCTGTCGAAAGTTTTTGATAAGTTTTATTATTGAATTATTGCAGATTCTGAATACATAAAAAAAAATACAAAATACTTAAATTGTTCAAATAATTTTAAAATTGTTGGTATTCAACACAGGTTAAAATATCATTGTCTTTGGCTCTCTCTCGTACCCTCACTATTGTCATCTTCTGAGTCTCTGTCAGATTCCAGAAGACAATCTTCCAATCGGCTGTCTCGTCTCACTGTGACATCACCTCTAGAGGAAAAACAACAGAAAACCATCAGTATAGGTCACACTGTTTACAAGGACAGATGGATGTTTAACTCAGCCTGAAGCAAAAAGAGAAGCAGCTCTGCTGACAACAGCGCGCTATCAATGGGTTTAGAATGACTTCATTATACAAACTGCTTTTGAAGTAGCAAGTGCATCATTAAGAGTTTGGCAGAAGCAGTTCGACATACAAATATTATTCATATCTGGCTTAAGGTGTCACATTAACAATATTTCAGTAACATTTTGTGGGACAAAAAAGGGTCCAAGCAGGCAACTTGAGCATGAGCGAAATCTGTTTGAGAAACTTTGTGCCCTTACATGATACTCCCAATTGCGGAAATTGCTATTTAAATGACTGGATGTTGTTTAGGAAATTTCACCAAACAATTTAGTTTCCCAGCCAATCCAGCTGAATTGCCCAAAACCACTCTAAAACCAGCAAACAGACCAGCCTGACCAGGCAGAGCCGAAAACCACCTTAGGTTGATTTTAAATGTGTACAAATGTCCTTGAAATGAAACATTGACATTAATATTGCCATGAAATGTTGGCAACTGCTTAGTTTGGCCAGCTTCCAAGTGACAGATTAAATATTGGAAGCAAAGTGTTTAGGTTTTGTATTTTACATGGGACATTTGAGTGGTGAGCCAACACAATGCCAAAATTGTTTATTACTCTGCTGGAAGAAGTAAAAACAACTTAAAACAGTCTTTAATTAGGTTTTGAATGATTTATCTGGTCTCTCAGCTTAACCAAGCTAGGGTTTACCAAGCCGGTCTCCACCAGTTTAAGACCAAACCAGTCTAAAACAGACTTTACGTTGTTTTTGCCTGCAGTGTCCACAAGACTAAACAAATGTCCTTGAAATTAAACAGTGATATTAATATTTTCCATGAAATGTTGGCATCTGCCTAATTTGGCTAGCGTCCAACTGACAGATTAAGTGCCAAAATTTTAGACGCAAAGACTTTGACATCAACAACAAAAGACACGGGAAGGATTTTAAACTCCTTTTAAAAACATGAAAAGTCTATTTTTTTGCTAATCTAAATATGCAGTTGCATTTGATTATTTGCATTCAGCCTCGTTTCCCCTGTATGTATCCCACCAGTTGAGAGACCCTGTCTCTCTAGACTCTACACAAATGTAGTTACAAAGAAATCAATATTTATTCTACAAAGTGATCATCAGCTCTGCATCCAGTGCTCGATGTGAGCTACAGTTCTCAGTGTCAAGTGCCTAGAGCATTCATGCAGATTTCTCATTAATAAGCATCCCAAAGATACTATATTCCAGCCAGTATCTCATTACTGATGTACATATTGATATACTGACTAATATGAAACATTGAGCAGAGTCTTATATTAGGACCTGTGTGTCAGTGAATGTCTATGAAATGATATATACTGTAATGCATTACATAAAGTAGGTAGTGAAGGGTTTGGAAATGGGGCTGTGATGAGCTTGAGATCCTCGAAAGGGACCATTATATCTAAAAAAAAACACACCTCTTTTTAAAACTTCCCGGAAGCTGCTCCCAAACAATGAGGTCACGACCCCCTGTGACCCAACGGTGGTCCCCACTTGCTGTTAGCCACGCAGCATAACAAAGAATTCTGGGAAGATTTGAAGAGGTGAGCGAAACCAAGTACCTGCACTGGGGAAGTGAGAACACTGAAAGAGTGTGAGAGAAAGAAAAAAAGAAAGGGTGAGTGATTAAACTGTCTTGCAGGTTTCAGGGGTGTTAAATGAATGTTAAAATCACTCACGGTTAATCTTGCTCTCTCCATTAGCGAGGTCAAAACAAGAACCAATCAAAAGGCCAGGTATTTGATTTACACAATCTGTGACACCAGCAGTGCTGCTGTGATTGGTTAGTCTAGTCATCACGCCTGCAAACGATTGGAGAGTGCAAACACGCATCATTAGGGACATCTTTATAGCATTCATTCACCGAAACACAAATAAACCAGGGAAAAAAAGTAATTAAATTCACATAATCTGTCTATTTATGGACTCCTTTCCTACTCTGCCAATAGCTGCCGAATTTGCTGTGTTTTATGTCGTTAATACAAATGTTTGGGTTTTTTTCTGTCTGTAAGAAGCTCATTATTTCTTTGAGAGCTCCAGCTACGAGCTGTTTGATGAACTGGCGTCATTATGAAGCTCAGCACTCTCGATTAGAGCATCACATCATGTAGTGTGCTCCTACCAGCAACTCTGATTTATCTGATGTAATTGTTTACAGGTTGGTTTTTTTTTTGGCCTTCAGCACAAATATCCTGTGAGAAAACGGGATTAAAATTTGAAGGCGCTGGATGTTTTTACATCTTCCTCTGCCCTAGGGAGAAAAGCCCCCTCTCCTGCCTGTGTTCTCTGAGCCACTGGGACGTTAACACCGATGATATTAGCAGCTCTGAGCGAATAGACTCAGTCACGATGTATTCCATTAATAAATCTGTTAAATAGCCCTGAGTCAAAGAACAAATGAAGGTCCAATGGGGGTTGTCAAATATTTATTGCTACAGAATCCAGCATATCCATGAGAAGTGCTTTATAAAATGAGATGTTGACTAAATACTGGTGTTGATGGCAGATCATAGGATTATGTGGACATAGGCGCATTAGGCTAGCGATTGTGTTCATTTGGTGTGATTAATTTAAAAAAAAGAAACGTTGATATATTCAACTGCTCACATTTATGTAATGTCTCGGAAATATCTTCATTACAGGGCTGTTTTTATCAAATGTTAACATATCTGTTTATATAAATGGTAGTATATATACACTGCCTGGCTACAAAAAACAAATTCCTGTTTGGATTTATAAAGGCAAATGCTTCTGAGTCAATGATTGGATCATTATTGCAGTGATTATTATGTTTCTAGCATGGCAACATTTCTTCTAACCCTAAGTGATGGATGTTTTGCTTTTCATTTCTTAAACAGCCATGAAGAAGACACATCATGGCCATATTTCAGGATGACAATGTCAAGATTCATCAGGCTCAAATTGTGAAAGAATGGTTGGGAGGGAGCATGAAGAATAATTTTTACATGTATTGGCACCTCTGAGCCCAGAGCTTAAATTCATTGAGAGTCTTTGGGATGTGCCGGAGGAGGCTTTACAGCTTGCTGGACTCTTGACCAAAAATGTTTGCAGCTCTTGATGGAAATAACATCACAACATTTATTTCCATTAAGAAGGGTGCATACATTTTAGTCAAGATTTTGTACCAGCATTAAAAATGTTATTAAGATTTTTTGAAAGAAAATAATACTTTTATTCAGCAAGCATGCAGTCTTACAAATACCTTTATTTCAATGCTGTTCCTTAAAAAAATATCACGGTTTCCACAAATATATTATAAGCTGCTAATATAAGCTGCTCAAGTGTTTTCAAAATTGATAATAATATTAATAAGTGTTTCTCAAGCAGCAAATCATCATATTAGAAGGATTTCCAAAGGATCATGTGACACTGAAGAATGGAGTAATGATGCAGATTTGGTTTGCATCAAAAAAATAAATTATATTTAATAATATATTACAATAGAACACATTTATGTTAAACTGTAACATTAAATAGAAAATTTTGCCATCACAGGAAAAATAAATTACATTTTAAAATATAATAAAACAGTTATTTTAACTTGTAACAATATTTCAGTTTTTAATCAGATATGATAATGAAGCCGTGGTGAATTTATCAATAATAATTGTACTGACCCAAAACTATATTAAATATTTAAAATCCTAAGTGATATTAATATTAAAGTTCCATAGATGTTTCAATATATTACCCGTTCTCCAATTTAGGATTCGAATGCTGGCCCTCCCACAAGAGAGAAACACACGGTCACCGCGGGGGCTCAGAATCAGCCTCCCGTTCACCCCGTCATCCCCACTACAG